TGGCAGAGTTATATACAGTTTCCTATCTTGATTTGGATTATGACTTTCAACAGGATTAGGACAGCAGGATGACTTTCCAAGCCTGGAAAGTTAAAAGGAGATGATCTTCAATCCATTAAGAAGGAACAGATCCAGATTTTTTTTTTTTTTTTAATGGATTCTCTACTAGAAAGCTTAGAATTTTTTTTGAAAAGGCACAGCCAAGAAAGGGAAATGAAGAGTAAATCAGAAGAGGAGCATAGTGGCAGCACCTTGAAAAAAGAGGAGACTAATATGAAAATGAGTCAGCTACCTACTGAGTGGTGATATTGAAGGTTAAATGACCAGTTATAGCTACAGTTGGTCAAGGATGATGAAATAGAAGGTAAGGAAGCAGAAGCATGTAGTGGGGTTTAGAAATCTATTCCATTACTTCTTTACCTAAACACAAGTCTTAAGATTGAAATTTCACCAGATCCTCTTCCCTTGTATCTTCAGCACATGCTCACTGTTTTTTGCATCCTTGTCTTTCCCATTTTTGTTAATTTATATTGCACTCTTCTGCCTTGTCTCATTTTTGCTTCCTTTGATGTTTAGGTTTGTTAAGTCCTACCCTATAATATATGGTTTTTAGTCATTCCCTAAATAAATAAATAAAACTTATTAGACTATAGTAGACTTTTTGTTTAAGTACTTACCAAAAAAATGTATTATTCTTAAGGGCTGTTTACATTACAAAAGCTTAGAAGCAATGATGACCAAGTACTTAACTGTTCCTAGTGGATACAGAGCCTAGGTTATGGTGAATAAGTACCATTCTGCCACTAAGTGAACACAGACCTCCAGGAATCAATTACTTATGAATAGGCAGGCACTGTCTTTGTTTTAATCAGCTTTTTCACTGCTGTGACTAAAGTATCTGACCAGAACAATTTTAAAGGAGGAAAGGTTTATTTGAGGGCTCTGAGTTTCAGAGGCTTAGGCCATAGAAAGCCAGCTTTATTATTCTGGGCTTGAGGTGAGACTGAATGGCAGAAGAATGTAGGGAAGGGAAGCAGCTCACTGTGAATAAAAAGCAGAGGAAGAATCTACTTGCCACATACAAATATATACCCAAAGCCATGCCCCAATTCCCACCTTTTCCAGCCATACCCTAGCACTTCAGTTACTACTCAGTTAATGGGGGCGTGTTTAAATCACTGATTGGATTAAGACCCTTATAACCCAGTTATTTCTCCTGAACCTTCTTGCACTGTCTCACATGGGAGCTTTTAGGGGACATCTCACATCCAAACTATAATAACATTCTTGGAGAGATTTTTTTTTTTATGTTACAAAGCAAGAAAATAGCAGATGTTATTGGTCTTCTGTCAAAAGTTCGAAATAACCTAAAGGGGTTAACTTCAGTATCAAAAAATATTGCTAAGAATTGTTATCAGGAAAGGATTCTGACTTTATTTAAAAAAAAAAAACAACAACTTTTTTCTGCATTTCTAAGATAATTATGTCTGAATCTATTTATCTTTTAGTATAATAATTTAACACATTTTTCTAACAAACTACCCTTGCATTCTCCGTAAAAACTCAGCCTTAGATTCTTGTTATCTTTTTTCTACATTCTGGGCCCAATTGGATAATCAAGTTTAGGAGTCTTGTCTCTTAGTGAGATATTAACCTGTTATTTTAATTTCTTATATTTTTTGTCATATTTTCTTTACTGGGATTCTGTGCACCTTTGTACTTAGGGTCTTTTCCCTCTTTTCTGCATTTTAAGATTAATTTTTAACCTGGAAAGACACTCATGTTTATTCTGATTGCTGATAGATTTGTATTTACTTTGCCACATTATGTGCTATATGTATGTTCTTTATTTTTGCCTCATATTGCTTTTGTTCTCTCTCATAGTAAATTCTTTTCTCCCACTTCTCTTCTCCACCTTAGAAATAGGGTGTGGGTCTTTCCTTTAATACTACTTCTGGCTGTTTTTAAATGCCTACTTTAAAATATCTGAAATTAGTAGTAGCCAACTTTTAAGACTTTAATGTTAATACCCAAATATGATTTCTGTTGCTCAGTATTTTAGCTTTATTAATTTCACAAATTTTGCCATGTTATTATTTTATACAGTCATTAGTTGTTCATAATTAATTATGTATTTGGCATTTTACTTTTAATTTTTGTTGTCAAGACCTTACTTATGGGAAACTCATTTTTTAAAATAGTTTGTCCAGTAGATGGACACAATGCCTTTATTTTATTTTTATGTGGTGCCGAGGATCGAACCCAGTGCCTGACATGTACCAGGCAAGTGCTGTGCCAACTGAGCCACAACCCCAGCCCAGGAACTCAAAAGACACCCTTTGACTTTTATTTAGTGAAGCTCTTTTGTTGGTAAACATCTCAGTTGGCACATTGTTTTGTTCTCTTTTGGGAGGGGGTGTTAAAATTTTTATTTGGTTCATTGATTTTTGGAGGGTTTTGCTGTGAATATAAGTTTAAGGGAAATATCCATTTTTTGTTTATTTGGTTTTGGTTTTGATTTTTTGTTACCCAGGATTGAACCCAGGGACACTTAACCACAGAGACTATCCCCAGCCCTTTTTTCATATTTTATTTAGAGACAGGGCCTTGCTAAGGTGCTTTAGGCCTCGCTAAGTTGTTGCTGACTTTGAACTCGTGATCCTCCTCGCTGTGTCTCTCGAGTTGCTGGGATTACAGGTGTGCACCACAACACCTGGCCTGCCAGTTTATTTCTTGAAGAATTTATACATATTTCCAGAACTTGCACATATTTCTTTTCAAATTTCACATATTTGAAAAGACATGGGGACTTAATGTGATGTGCATTTTTGCAAATCCCATAGTATTAAATTAACAAAGATGAATATAATACAGTTGTTGCCTTGGAGAACTTGTTATCTTGCTAGTGAGGTTTTCTTAAATAAATGTGATGAGTATGCTTAGTGCTTTAGAGGGGGAAATAACCATCCTAGAGTAGAGGATGGATTGTTTGAAGTGGGTAATGAATAACATGTAGGAGACCAACAAGTTAGCAGAGAAGGAATAGGGTTTTGGGTAGAAGTAATGGCAGCATTTTCAAAGGCCTAAAATCAATACCATTTATAAGAAGTCTGTGTGCATAGACCGAGCCAGTCAAGGTCTGAGGAGAGAAATGTCTTTTGTGATTGTGGAAGAAATGGCCATTGAGGTGTACCTTAAATGATTGGTAGTGTCCAGTTGATGGCATATAAAGATACAGAGGGAAATAACCTGTTACTTAGACAGGAGAGAATATAAGCTCTTTAGAGAGGCACATGAGTAGTAGTATTGACCTATCTGGTACTACCCTTAAACTCTGCCTCAGCCTCCCAAAACTGAGTAAAACCTAAAACAGAATAGGGTAGACTCAACTCTTTCTGAGAAATCACTAGGAAGTTTTGGGTATCATTAAAGTTTTTATGTGAGTGTATTTTTTAAGGGGAGAAAGATGAGAACAACTTTTCCAAGGTTGTTATATATATTATAAAGTCATGAGTATTCCATGGGGTTGGGGGGGGCACTGTGGAGGTGTGTGTAGTAGCTTTGAGTATCAAATATAAAAATTTAAAGTTTATTTGGTAAACATTAGAGTCCCATTGAAGTATTTTAAAACAGCAGACCTGACACTAATGATAAATGATCTAGGTGACTTATCTGACCATGCAGAATAGAATTAGAGAATCCCAGCAGCTGAATCACCAATTAGGGATAGTCAGGACTGAAGTGACTCAAATAAGGGATAGTGATAGTGGAAATGAAGGAGGGGCTTGTACAAAAGAATTGACAGTTGAAAAGTGATTGGGCCTAAGATTTGGAAAACAACCAGGTAAGCTGGGAATGTTGATTAGATAGCATTTGGGTGCCTAGGACATATATTGTAATATTAACAAGAGGTATGACATTAATAGGAAAAGTAGTTGTGGGAGAAAACTGAAATCATTTGTCACCTGTGGATATGAAATTAATTATAAGATATATCTTAATATCAATATACCCTTTAAAAATAGTTTATTTTAAAAACTATTCTTTAGTCAGTGATTGGACAAGCAGTGCAGTCTTGCCTCAACAGCATAAGCTTTGGAAATAGACCTCATGCCCATGCACTTTAATAAGTATCACTGTTGTAAGCCTGGAAAGTCACTCATCTTTTGGGGTTTTATTTTGCTTGTCTGTAAACTATAAATGGTAGTACCTGCTTAGAGAGCTATAGAGTGAACTAGATGGTATTTTATACACACATACACACACAGTATACATGTTGACTAATTTTAAGTTCTATATAAATGTTAGGGTTTTTTCTTATTCTCTGTCTCCCTCTCTCTGTACTTGGTATTGAATCCAAAGGTACTCTACCACTGAGCTATGTCCCCAGCCATTTTTTGCTTTTTATTTTAAGACAGGGTCTCAATAAGTTTCCAAGGCTGTCCTCAAACTTGCCATTCTCCTTCCTGAGTCTCCTGAGTACCTGGGATTACAAGCATGTACCACTATGCTCCTTTATTAAAAGATGCTAGCCTTACTTTTGGCTGTTGTCATATACTCAGTTAAAACCAAAGAATAATGAGTAACTTGTTTTTGGTTTTGATTTTCAGCATTTCACTGTAAATCATACTCATGATTGTTTGCTAAGTAAAATATGTATGTCATCAGGCCATTTGTAATTATTGAATGTGTAGGTGTAGTTAACAGCCTTCATTTCTGGTAAGTGACTTTACTTAGAGGATATATGTTTATGTGCACAAGAGACTATTTCCTGGAAGGAAACTGTGGTCTCCTAATCTTTTATAACATTGTCTTTAATCTTTTAGAACTCATGAGCTTTGTCCTATACAGACTTGTTTTTTTTTTTTTTTTTTTTTTTTTTGAGGCAATTTCTTGCCAGAAGTAAATGAAGATTCCTTATGAGCCTGATAAGACTTCATAGACTGTTGGTAACATGGAAAAATTGGGTGTTTAATCAGAAATGTGAACATGTGTTTCAGGTAGAGAATTCTAAAGATAATGAAGATAGTTTTCTACAAAGAGAAATTCCTGCCAGACAGTCTCGACGAAGGTTTCGGAAAATAAACTACAGAGGAGAACGCCAAACCATAACTGATGATGTGGATGTTAACAGTTATCTTTCTGTGAGTATATTTGGGGATGTTTCATGAAACTTCTTTATTTTCCATATGAAGTGAAATTTTTATATATTTTTGATAATATCAACACTTTGGTCTCTACATGTAAATAAAAGGGGAGACAAATACATAATTTTTAAAAATTCTTCTCTTTGATTAAATCAGAAATATTATCTGGGAATTTTGGCTTTGATTTTGCTTTTATTCACATATTAAAGCAGAAAAGTTGTTAATTTTTTGACACATTTGTGATCATTCTTTTTATTGCTTGAATGTGGTGTAGATAGATCAGAATCCTATTTGAAAACTCAGGTAATAGAATGGGGAGGCTTTTTTTCTTTTTTTAATGCTATAAGACATAGTTCCCTTGAAATGTAGGACAAATATGCAAAATATACTAGTGTCAAAATATACAATTGTTGAAGGTATGTTTTCAAATGCAAATATTAAAAAAAGAAAAAGCAGATGAAATATTAACTTGTAATACCAGAAAAATATAAGTTGTTTCTTCAGAAGTCTTTAAATTTTGTAATTGTAGATAGCTTTTTTTTAACTGCTGTGTTTTAGATAAAGAAATAAAGGATAATCCAAGAATAAATAAATTCATGAGTGGTTTTCAGGAGGTGGTTACATAGAATCAGTTTTCCAAGGAGTCCTGATTTCTTTTCCTCTTTTGTTTGTTTTATTTAAATGATAATAAAGGTTCATTTTGGAGGAATAGATGATTGGTAGAACTCCTAAGAGTATCTTTTTGGTTGTCAGAAACAGAAATGTTGCCTTTCTATGTTAGGAATAAAAAAAGATGATTAAGGTGGTTGTTTACTGGAATAAGTATTCAATTTAAAGCAACTTCTAAAGATTTTCTCATGTTTGCCTCATTCCATTGATTTAATGTGTTCTGTTTTTGATAGTAAACAATATCAGTTCAAAAACTTATTACCACATTCAGAGCTACCCAAGGTTCATTTTCTCCTTCAATTTTTTAACCATTTTTTTCTTTATAAAATAAATTTTGTATCACTGTTTAAGCTGTCTTGTTTTACCTTATTACAGTCACATTTCTGTCTGTATTTTAAAAACATTCTCACCATCCAGTTGTATAACCATTGATGACATTTTATAGATTTTTTGTTAAAGGCTTTTCAGCATGTAGTTTGTTTTCACAACTTTCAAAAACCTAAAATATATAATGTTTTGTAACTTTTTAAACAATATATAATCTCAACATCTTTGAATGCTGGTAAATGATTTTTCAGTACTTTTTTTTAAATGGACACAATATCTTTATTTGTTTTATTTATTTATTTATTTTTTATGTGGTGCTGAGGATCGAATCCAGTACCTCACAAGTGCAAGGCAAGCACTCTACCGCTGAGCTATAACCCCAGCCCCCAGCACTATTCTTTTTTTTTTTTTCCTTTAATTTTTATTCATTCCTTTTAGTTATACATGACAGTAGCATGTATTTTGACATATACACATGGAGTATAACTTCCCATTCTTGTGGTTGTACATGATGTGAAGTTACACTGGACATCCTACAGTATTTTTTTAAAAACTTTTATTTTTTTTAAATTTATGTGATGCTATTTTATGTGATTAAACCCATTGCCTTCACACTTGCTAGGCAAGCACTGTACCACTGAGACACAATACAACTGTAGCCCCAATGCCGTTCTAAATGATTGCCATAATTTATTTGGCTTCCAATATTTGGTTATTTAAATTGTTTCTAGTTTTTAAATTTTTAAAACACATTTAATTTTGGTTAACATGTATTAATTGTACATATTAATAGCATTCGTGCACTGATCAAATCCAGTCACTGTTTATCTGCCCACTTTTTACCCACTCTCCCCTCACCTTTCTCATCTTCTAGTAATTACTATTTTATATTCAGATGAAGTTTTAGCTTCCACATGCCTTATTTTCACTGAAGATAATCAAATCCTCCAGTTCCATCCATTTTGCAGCAAAAAAGGATTTTATTTTTCTTTATGACTGAATAATACTCGTGTGTGTGTGTGTGTGTGTGTGTATAATATTTTCTTTATCCATTCACCTGTTGTTTGGTACCTAGGTTGAGACTGCATATCGTAGCTATTCGGAATAGTGCCACAGTGAACAGGGTTATGGTCATACAGATATCTCTTTGGTATGCCTTTTTCCTTTTCTTTGTTTACTTACCCAAGAGTGGGGATAGCTATATTATATTGTAGATCTATTTTTAGTTTTTTGAGGCACCTCCATACTGTTTTCCATAATGGCTATACTAATTTACATTTCTACAAAGATGGTATGAAAGTTGCTTATTCTCTACATTCTTGTCAGCATTTGTTATTTTTTGTCTTCTTGATAATAGCCATTCAAACTGGGGTGAGATGATAGCTCATTGTAGTTTCAATTTGCATTCCCTTAATGGCTAATGATTATTGAGCATTTTGAAAATATATTTGTTGGCCATTGACATTTTTTCTTTTGGGAAGTACCTATTTAGATCACTTGGTCCATCTTTTAACTGAATTACTTGTTTTTAGTTTTCTGTTAAATATTTTGAATTCCTTATGTATTCTGGATAATAATTCTCTATTAGAGGAGTAGTCAGCACATTTTCTGTCATTCTATAAGTTTTCTCTTCACTCTATTGATTATCTGCTTTGTTGTATAAAAGCTTTTTAATTTCATGTAATCCTATTTGTCTGTTTTTTTGTTGTTGTTGCTTGTTCTTAAGGTCAGATGTAAACAGTCAGTGGATATATTAATTCCTTGAAATGTTTCCCCTACATTTTCTTCTAGTAGTTTCAGAATATCAATTTTACATTTAAGTCTTTGATCCATTTTCATTTGATTTTTATACAGAGTAGGAGTTAGGGAACAATTTTCAGTATTTTGCCTGTAGATAATCCAGTTTTTTCAGCATCATGTTTTTCGGCCTTTATCAAGAATCAGTGTTTGCTGGGGTTAGTTTAGTGGTAAAGCACTTACCTAGCATGTGTAAGGCCTTAAGTTTGATGCCCAGGACCACTAAAACATAAGACAAACAAAAAATACATAAATTAATTTGCTGTACTTGCATTAATTTATTTCTGGGAACCTTATTCTTTTCCGTTGGTATATAGATTTTCTGTTTTTATGCCATTAGTATCCTGTTTTGGTACTGTGGCTCAGTAGTATGTCTTTTTTAAAATTTATTCTAATTTGATATTTATGATAGCAGAATGTTTATCAATTCATATTATATATATATTCAACAATTTTTCATATCTCTGGTTGTATACAACATAGAGTCACACCATTCGTGTCTTCATATATGTACTTAGAGTAATGATGTCCATCTCATTCCTCTGCCTTTCCTACCCCCATACCCCCTCTGTAATATGTCTATAAATCAGATATTATAATGCCTCCAGCTTTGTTTTTTGTTGTTGTTGTTGTTGTTGTTGTTGTTTTGTTTTTGTTCAGGGTCTTCTATGGTTCCATATGAATTTTAGGATTTTTTTTTCTAATTTTGTGAATAATGTCATTGGTGTTTTGATAGGAAATAATGCATTGAATTTGTAAATTGCTTTGGGTAATGTGGGCTTTAACAATATTAATTTTCCTAATATACGAACATAGGAGGTCTTTCTAATTTTTTATCTTTTCCTCAATTTCTTTAATTAATGCGTTATAATTTTTATTTTCGAGGTCTGTCTCTTCATTGGTTAAATTTATTCCTTGGTATTTAAAAAAAATTACAACTAGTGTGAATTGGATTGCTTTAATGATTTCTTTTTCAACAAGTTCATTATTGATATATAGAAATACTATTTATTTGTATGTTGATTTTTTTATTCTACAACTTTACTAATTTCACTTATTCTTATAGTCTTTTGGTGGAACTTTTAGGCTTTTCTGTGTAGAGAATTATATCATCTGCAAATAAGAATAATTTTACTTCCTTCTTTCTATTGAATATGGTTATTATTTCTTTCTCTTGCCCAATTGTCTCTGGCTAAAACTTCTAGAACTATTTAATAAGATCAGTGAGAGTAGGTGGATACCATTGTTTAGTGGATCGTAGTGGAACACTTTCAGCATCCCCCCTCCTCCATTCATTATGATTTGGATATGGGTTTGTCATAGCACCCTTTATTATATTGAGGTATGATTCTTCTATACTTGTTCAGAAGTATGTTGTTGTTTTGCTTTGCAGTGCTGTATTAAGACCTCACATTTGCTAAATAAGTGCTGTACATCCTTAGCTCTTTTATAAATTTGATTTTAAAACATAATCTTACTAAGTTGCCCAGGTTAATCTCAAACCTGTGGAACTTGTGCCTCAGCCTCCCAAGTAGCTAAAATTACAGACATGAGCTACAATGCCTGGCTCATTCCTGGCTTTCATTGTGAAGAGATATTGAATGTTTATTGATTGGCCTATGTTGAACCATCCTTGGATCCCTGGGACAAATCTAACTTGATTGTGGTTAAGTGATGTTTTGATGCGATGTTGAATTTTATTTGCTAGTATTTTGTTGAAAATTTTTGCATGCATGTTCATCAGGGATATGGATATAAAAATTTTCGTTTTTTATTGCCGCCTGATTTGGTTTTGGTATCAGGCTAATGCTGGTCTCATAGACTAAATTCAGATTGGTTCCCTCCATTTCAGTTTTTTAGAGTGGTTAGTTCTTCACTAAATATCTGGTAAAATTCAGCAGTGGAGCCACTGAATCTAGGCTTTTCTTTGTTGGGAGCTGTTTTTATTATTGATTAAACCTCATTACTTGATATTGGTCTGTTCAAAGTTTTTAGATTCAATTTTTCTAGGTCACTTTTGGCCAGAAATATATCCATTCTCCTAGGTTTTCCAATTTGTTATATAATTTTTCATAATAATTCCTAATGCTCTTTTTTTGTGTGATATAAATTATTACATCTCTTTTTTCATTTCTGATTTTATTTGGGGCTTCTCTTTTTTCTTGGTTAATCTAGCTAGCTAAAGGGTTGTTGACTTATGTTTT